AATGTACTTCCTCTTTAGTACTACTGTATAATAAACATGGAATCCATAAACTGGGCTAAAGCACAAAAATATCCACTTAACTCCTCTTAGGAAATATTGTCCCCCAAACTAAAAATAGTACAGTAAGAAGTGTCTTAGAGCCAAGAAATTCTTGCTACAAAAATTTCTAACGGGTTTACAGACTGAAGGTCAGAAGCTGTTACGAAGCACATGGGCAGGACGTCGGGATGGCAGGACGCCGTCTCGCTGCGGTGGGGATGGTGCTGATGGAGACCTCCCGGACATCGCGGAGTCACAGCCGGGACACGGGACGTGGGTTTCGCTAGCTGCTGAGATTATAGATCACTTTCAGATTTACATCAACGCATTCAAACAAGTGCTCTCCTGACCCCCAGGGCTCCGGGAGGTGAAACGGAGGTTGGTTTTCCCAGATTTTGGGCTCAGTGGGGGCACCTCTACTGCAGCCTCTAACCACCTGAGATCCTTGGAACGATACCTTCTATGATCCGCTTAAGAACATATAACACAGGAGTGGCTATGCGCTCGGATACAGCCCCAACACAGGCTTATTGCTAACAACACTGTTAATTAAAATCTTTAAGCCTCCTTCTCACTTCTTTCCCGTAATATGTTTTTACTCATCTGAAATATACCTGAACATTAAATCTATATGTACTAAACATATTCCCAAAAGTCCCTCCTTCCAGATTAATCACTAAATCTGAAACAAAGATAAACTATTCTTTTTTTTTTTTTCATTACACAAATGGAAGATGGCAAACAAATCACAAATTAGACCACTTACAACAAATACAATAAAAGTCACCCTGTTTCATGATGGGTTTGTTTGCCATGGAGGAAGAAGGTGAAGAAATCTTCACAGCTACCAGGACCTACCCATCCCTTACAAAACCATGATTCAAGGCTCTTGCAGCCCTCTGACAGGAAAGCTTCTGATAGTCACAAGAACCAAAATATGCATGCAAGAAGCCTAGATTCATGGATTTAGCTTTGCACCCTGCCAGGAAAGCAGAACAGTAAGTAGAAAATAAATGTAGGCTAGGAAAGGAGGGCTTATTCCTGGGGTAACTGTCCCTATTTCTCCCCCTGCCCTCCCTATCCCTCCCGCCCCCAGCAAATAACAGAATATTGTTTATAAAAGGAACATTAAAACATTGAAAAATATTTCTTTTTTTCCTTTAAAACACAATTCACTGTCATTAGAAGACTTCTATGATAAAATTTCTATTCCATATGGTGATCTGTGTGGTTCATTAAAAATAGTTTTCTGTATTTCAAAGAATGAGTCAATATATTTTGGAAGATTAGACTGTTACAGGGTCAGTCAGAACTCACTGATTGCATTCTACAGTATGTATGCATACAAGTGTTTGTGTGTGTATATCTACATATACATACATATAACAGTGAGTTGTATAAAATCCAGTACAACTCACTATTACATGTTGCTGCTTGGGGTATTTGAATACTTATCAGTTTGTAGGAAAGAATATAAACTTTTCAACATCACCCTCCCCCAGTCCCTGTTCATGCACTCTGGGAACTGGATGCTCCACAGATGAGTGTTTTCACCTGTGGATTAGAGAAAAAGAGAGATCAATCCTTCAAAGTATATTAGATTAATCAAGGCAGATTATATTTTACTATACAGAGGAATGTGACTGCATCCTGCTTTTCTCCTGAGTACAGAATGAGATGGTGACTCAGACATAAGGAGAAGAAAGCAGAAAAGTCAAAGTGCAGGTAACAGCTAAATACTGCTGCTTGCTAATGGAACCCCCTCCAGAAGGAAAGCAGGAGGATTTGTGGAAAGTTGTTCACCTCAGTTCCAACACTCGCATTCTGGACAGACACTGGATTGCAACACACGGGACATGGTGTGGCAGGACAAGGGTTTTCTGGCAAACAAGATTAATATAAATGCTTCCTCTTCTACAGTGTTTATTTTGAGAGAGTGTCAAATAAATCCATAGACATAATGGTATAAAGCATCACAATGCCTCTCTGGATTAGGAAATTCAACTATACCATCATATTTTCATCACCAAAGTGCTAGTGGCCAGGCTCATTGCTCCAAGTCTTGAATCACATCACCAAAGTGCTAGTGGCCAGGCTCATCATTGCTCCAAGTCTTGAATCACGTGTCTTTTCAGTGAAAAACTATCAGGAACAAGAGATAATGACCAAAAAAAAAAAAAAAAAAAAGACAACAAAAAAGAACACCTGTGCATGCTGAAATATTGTCATTCAAAATAACCAACCAATTCCAGTGCACAAAGCAAGCCACAGGAATGCAGTTCCTAGAAACAAACTTCAGCCTTCCAGGTAAGAGTGCCTTCTCAGAGAAATCTGTTGACAATTTTCTGTGGTGGTGGCAGAGTCCCTGAAGATATTTTGCCTAGAAAGGCTTTTGGATGGTTGTTATGGGACACAGCTGTTTCAAACACTTGCATGAGTGGAAGAGACCAGGAGATGGGTCGAGCATTTCTTTGGAGGATTATTGCCCAGATAGATAGTACAGGCTAGTGGAGGGCCTGTGATATTTGTCAGTCAGAATAAGGGAAGGCTCTGATGTTAAACATCCTGGGACACGGCATCTGCACAGGGTACGTGAGTGGAAAGCATCCATATTCGCACCTGGTCCAGCAGCTTCCTTATTCGTGAACAGCACATTTAAACAAAGACTGTTACTGGGGACATATGGCCATGTAAATGGAGAGGAGTGTTCACTTACTCATGGCCTCACATGGTCACCTCTGCTCCATGGGCTCTGCCACCTCAAGTCCTGGAGACTCTAGGGTGGACTCTCCTCTCCCACACTGTTCACATACCCCTCCTTGCAGAGGGGATTTGTCCCAGATTGGTTTGGACCAAGAGGAGAATGGAAGAGATTCAGAACCTCAGCAGAGTCTGCCTCTCCATCAGCCATGTGTGTTTCTGTTCTCGTCAAATCAGTCACAAAACTTTAGATGGCAGGGACATCACCAAGGGAAAGATTTTCACATGGAATTGCCTTTTAAGAAACATTCAGTGACTGAGATGAGGAGCTTGGAGGTAGTCAGGGGAGAGGAGCGTCCATCAAGGTAAGGAGTCAGGACATGAGGTGTGAGCATTGGAGAGGCCTTTCCTTTCTCATCCCCAGGTCATGGTGTGCCACAGTGATTTATAAAGAAATCTGGGTGTCACCCAGAGAGATTCTGCCCAAGGCTGCACAGTAATGAACCTGACAGTCTGAACCATGGAGACAGTTACTTGTTCCTTCACAGCTCAGTTTCCGTCAAACAAAGCCCCAGTATTTCTCTCAGATGGGATTTTCTCTGAACACTGTCTCTATCTAGTGGGTAGAAATAGGTCCATGAACTAGGACCAGCAATGCCAGGACAGTCTGGGAAAGAGAAGGACCTTGGATCCCTTTTGAGAACTGCAGCACAATAAAAGCCAACCTGATCCCACTGAGGTCTCTCTCTAATTCCCTGGGGAAGACAGCACACTCCTGTTGCCTACCTTGCACCAGAAAACAAGATGTACACCATCAGTCTCACCATGAACTCAGAAGCTTAGTACAACCTGCAGCTTTATGCTATGGAAGTGGAATGTGAAACTATAGGGAACTATAAGGCTGTTTGAAGGGAAGGTGAAGGGCAGCATTAATTTTAATGGAGTTGTTTAGTGAAGAGTTGTCTTGGTAAAGAGTTAAGGAAATGTAGCACACAAGGAGAGCAGTACTGTGCAGGAACATGTTACAACCTGAATTCAATAATCATTCAATCCTGCAGAGGGAGGGAGCACGCCTGGTGTTTGAAACAGCAACACGGGTGCGGGCATTTGATGGAGCTTTGAGTATGCACCATGGTATGAGAGTGCAGCATTAATACTGATACAGCGTTTGGTCTGGGTGGCCTTCAAAACCTCTGAGATCCGTTCCTGGCCACAGAAGTGTTCCAGTGTGAGTTAGTTCCACAAAACTTGATAGGAACAGATATAGAAGAAAAAAATAAATAAAAACAAACAAACAAAACCCCACAACAACCAAAAAAAAAGAAAAGAAGAAGAAGGAAAAAAAGTGAATTCCAACCCACCCAGAAAGCCAAAAATAAAACCCTCATAAATTCTGGAACCATGACTATTTTTAAAAGATTTCACAAATATACAGTATCTAATTAGCATTCTATTGGATATACAACATGCCCATTTAATATACTTATGCTGGATATATAATTTGTTTGCATGAAATGTGACTGCATATGTGGCTAGGATTGGGACTCAGTGGAATTGGCATTTAGATGGCTTTTTTGAGGCCACTACGTGGTGAAACAATCATGGAAAGTTACTGACCCGCTTTTTGGTATGCTGACACACTTAGTATTTCTGCTAAGGGCTAGAAAAAGATTTGCTACATATGGAGTTCTAGGTTGTAACTGAATGGAGGAAATATGCCAGAAATAGGGAGCTGGGACCAGTGGAAAATGCCAAGAGAAAAGGAAACTTCTGAGAAGAAATCCAGGCTCCGTGAAGTCAGTGGTAGTCTTGCCTGGTAGGAGTTTCAGTGGAGTCAGGACTTCTAGCACAGGTTAGCAGTGCAAAGCTGGACAGATTCTGGCGCTTTAGGTCTAGCAGTGGCAAGAAGCTGAAGGAACAGAAACCCTATTCCTCCTTCCTATTTACATGTTGTAGACATCAAGATACTAGAATGAGTGGGGAAAGGATCTAACAAGCATTTTCAGCATATTTGTGCTTATTGAACACATCGACCCCACTACTTCCTACACTGAGAGAGCAGGCGACTTGTAGGCACTAGTATATTTTTATCTTATGAATATATTTAATATAAACTAAACTTTCATTTCTCAGCCAGACTATTCTTGCCCCTAGATCTGCCAGTCCTCAAGGAAAGACTGCCCTTGAATGTACTCCAAGGGTGAGGAAGAAGAGAGATATGGGTGCTGGCTGATACTGAATGATCCTCAGCAGTCAAAATCTTACCTACTTGCTACAGAAAGGTCAAACATATGGGCTGGCATGAGAGATGGCAAGAGGGCCCTTCCAACCAGGATGGGGTGCTGCAGTTCCTCCTCCCTGCCATGGGCTGCATGAGAGTGGTTCTGCTTGTAGCAATCGAAGAGTCCCAAATTCATAAAAACAATGAGATAGTGCAGGTGAGCCCTTGGAAGGAGCCATCTACTACTATGGCTTTCTTTGACAGAAACTGATGCATGTTAGGAAATATCCTCCATTATCCCTCACTATCATCTTGTTTGTTTGCTTAGGTTCTTCTTATGTCACCAATGTAGGGGGTGGCTTTAAAAATGATGCGAATGGGACTGTTTGAGAAGTCTTTTCAGACACTGAGTTACTAGAGGTTATCTTGGCCTATAAGGCCACTGCAGTAGAGGGTGCTGTGACCACCCCAGTCCTTAATGAAAATCTACAACGCACAGGGTCATATCAAACAGTCACCTCTGTTTTGCTCGCCGTGCGGTAGTGGTGGTGGTGTCCTGGAATATAATGCAGTTGTTCCACGGTGTTATGCCGCCGGGAGGCGAACGCTTGGCGCTTGGCAGAAGTTGGGTTCATACCTAAGGTATTGTACAAGTTATTTGAGGCACTAGGATGGGAGTGCATTTTTGTCATCCTGTAGCGATCCAAGACGGGTGTTGACACAAAGACGTCTGTGTGTGACAGTGCCCGCGACATCGAGTGCTCTGGGTACCCCGAGCGCTCTGGGGAGAGCAGCGGGTCTTGGGAATGGAGGCGCTCAGCGGACAGAAGCTGCTCGTCTGAGAGGATCCGTTCATAGGACATGCTAAACTCCTCAGGCATGATCCTCTCAGGGGACAGCACCCTGTCCTGGGACATGGCCCGGATGGGCCGCCGGGGCCTGTCCCTGTGGTTACTCTGCTGTGACATCTTGATGACGTTGATAGGGAGGGTGCCCCGGGCCGCCAGGTCGGGCAGGTGTCTCCTCCTCATGTAATATTCATCTGCCTCTTTGTCAGCTGCAGGGAAAAAAGAAAGGGAAACAGTTAAAAATGCCACGGAGTGAGAAAGGGGGATGTGCCAGTGACAAGCACTCTGGAAGATTCTTCTCCTGAAAGCCAAGGATGGTCCACCAGTGGCCGAAGCGGCTTGGGCCTCTATTTCGGCCTGCAGGAGAGGTGCCAGCCCTGTGCATGTTTTGTGGACACGTTTATGGCACACAGAGATGGTTTGTAATTACTAGACGAGTAGAAGTCCCCATTTGATATGTCACACAACCTTACAACATGACACGATAGACTCCATATGCTGCTCGATACAGATTGTGGTATCACATGACTTACAGGAAGAGTGAGTTTTGGAGAAATTATCCAATGTCACCTTCACAGGATATTTACAAAGGAGCATATGGAATTTGACCTAGGGCAGGCAAGCTCCCCATTTGGGGAAACCCATGCTTTGTTTCTGATGTCAGATGTAAATATTCTGAGCAATTCCTGAGTGACCTTGTTACATTTTTAGTTACTATTTTTTTATGTATTTATATTTGTAGTCACAAAGCAACTTTGATGGTCATGGGATGTTCTCTGAATCATCTGCCTGAGATCTTGTTTTCCATCTTTTCCAGATACCTCGGTTGCTATTAGAGAGCTTTTCTTTCTGTGGAAAGTTTGTTTGTTGAAGTGCCAGACAGTGGGCTGAGATTTTGGTGTGCCACATTCCTATTGCCTTTCCTCTTCTGAAAAATCCTCCACATGGAGATATGCTGTGGAGAGTCCAAAAGCTTTTCTGTCACTTCAATTTATGTTAGCTTAGTTAACTGGCAATGCACTATACAGGCTAAGGGAGAGAGGGCTGTTCCTCAGGCCCATCTATCTTCAATGCAGCTATTGTAACACTTAAATTATTTCTCTTAAGTTAGACAATATCAAATATAATGTATTCAGAATGACCACGGAAACACATTATGAACCTGTTCTCTCAGTTAGAGAAAGCATTTTACTTTTTAAGTATCACTTATGTGTTAATTCTATCACAGTTGAAGGGAAATCTATGTGAGTGTTCACCATCAGTAACAGTGATGGGCTGGGGCATTATGGAAAATCTAGCAGAACAATGTAATACATAAAACATTTTTAAAAAACAACTAGTGCGAACAAGGCAGTGAGGAATATATTGAGACACAAGATGTGTACCATAGATTGGTGAATGGCACAGATCAGGATTGGCTCAGGACACGTACATCAAGAAGCAGATCACAACACT